GCGCCGATACGTGGAAGATGAGAGGCTTAGCGGTCGCTGCCCCCTCCCCAGGTAATTCTACACAAACAGACATACATGTACACACATAAATATGCACCTGAGTCCTGAGATGACTTTAAAAGAGAAAATTTAACTCTTGAACCATAAGATAAGATAAGATAAACTTTATTGATCCCACAGTGGGGAAAATCACTTATCACAGCAACTCACAGACAGTTAAAGTGCAGGAAGAAAGAAAAGGAAGGGAGAAAGAAAAGTTAAAACTATAACTATATATACACCTTAGGAATAATAAAAGAATAAAATTATATAAAATTTATAAAATATTGCAACATCACAGTAATGCGGTGTTGTAAGAAATAAAATTATATAAAATTATAAAATATTGCACATCTGAACATCACTGTAATGCGGTGTTGTAAAGTCTGACAGCCACTGGTATGAATGACCTGTGGTAGCGCTCCTTCCTACACTGGGGGTGTAGCAGTCTGCTGCTGAAAGAGCTGCACAGGGTCTCCACAGTCCCATACAGGGGGTGAGAGACCCTGTGCAGCTCTTTCAGCAGCAGACAGGAAGAAGGATACCGATAACAGTCTTCTGTCTGACTTCCATTTTCTTTTTTAATGTTAGATGTATAGTGCGCTGTGTGTAATCTGTTGATTGTTGCACAGCCTATGACTTTATGGATTTTATGTGCATTGTGTGACACTAATCTTTTCATGTTTTCTTTTCTTCTCTCAGGCAACAAGTGACAGAAATAATTTTTGTTTTAAAGGCTGTTAGCACACTCATGGATTCCCTCAAAAAGACACAGCCTGAGAATGGCAAGTATCTTTTTCATTATTACCATAAACTGTATGCTTTTTCTTGTCTGGGTTTGGAACTGTTAGGTGTTGTTTTAGAACTGTTGACTGTTAATTTTAATGTAATGTTTTATATAAAGGATTTTAATATGTTGTATATATTCGAATTTTCAGATGGGAATGCTAATTTCTTATTTCTCTTTTTTTTCTGCTCTTCATTCTACATTTGGATGCACCCCTGTCATGTTTAATCTCTTTTTTCTTTTCCTTATCCTCTGAATTTATTATATGACTGCTCCTGTGATCTCTCTCTCTCTCTCTCTCTCTCTCTCTCTCTCTTTCACTCCTTCTCCATACCACTTGCTGTGTGGCTTGCATGTATATTTACAGTGGATGGGAATACCTGGGCTCAGGTGATCGCTCTCTACCCCACGCTGGTAGAATGTATCACTTGTTCGTCTCCTGAGGTCAGCTCTGCTCTGAAGGAGGCTCTGGGGCCTTTCAAAGACTTCATGCAGCCACCAGTGGCCAAAGTGCAGAATGGCGAGTCATGATCCATTACGTCCCACAAGCTTTTTATCCAACCAGAACCATGAATGTGACACACCACACACACGGACTTGTTTTTGCCCCAGTGCACATTTTATTGGCTGTTTTCATGGAAACCAAGCGTCACTGTTCTCAGCTTCTTCTAACAGTAGCTCAAATTACATTATAATTGGCTGGCTGGACAGTAATAATGCATTATCTGCTATATAACATTTGCAGTGTTCATTGTTTTTTTTTTTTTCTTCTCTACCCACCCAAAAAAAAAAAAAAAAAAGGTTTCTTTACCATGACAGGAGTTAATATACAGTGTGTGCTCATAGTGTTAATGATGTAACAAAGAATCACATATTCAACGTTAATTATCTCAAACCGAAGAATGGTTTTAGAAAATACAATGATTAATAAAATTGGTCTTTTTGTGACATTTTCTCAACTGCAAAAAGATTTTATGCAAGATCTGATTGTAACATTCCATGTGATCTCTAGTGAGCTGGAGAAGGGATGTAACCCTGTGTGTGTAAAATAAATGGTACAGTTCTATGAACACCAAATTCATTTATTTATTTTTTAAAATGCCGCTTTACACAATATCAGAAGGGAATCGCTGTAGCATTGCTTCATGTAGTGTGCATTTTGAATCTGCATTTGTCCTCATGGGTGGCATGGCGGTGCAAAATTTCTAAATCTAAATTGCCCCTAGGTGTGAATTAGTGTATGAATGTGTTTGTGTATGCTGCCCTGCGATGGACTGAAGATCTAAACCAGTGTTTCTCAACCAGGGGTCTGTGGACCCCTTGTGGTCCCTGGGATTGTTTCTAAAAATATTTAAAATATATGTAAGTGGTTTTTTTCATTAAATATTTCAGAATATACTTTCAAAAAATACATTTTCAGGCCCATTTAATTTCAGAAATCCACAGACTTACTGTTTTTTAAATTAATCTATATGCTTAGTCATGCGTATTCACAGCTCTCTCACTAACATAGCTTAGCTTGCTCATTCTGGAGTGTCCTCCATCTATGTTCACTGTATCATTATTAGCACAAGGTTTGCATTGTGTCCAACACTGATGGGTTAAATAAACAAATGATCATTAGAGTGATAATCAAAATGAGTGTAATGTTAGCAATAAAATGTGTGAGCATTTTACTGTTCATCCCCAGCTGCAAAAAATACAATTTCAAGTTTACCATTGATGGGTGAAATGAAATGTGTATGTCAATGTGTAATGTGTAATGTAAAATGTCAATGCATAAAAATGTCACTGCTAATTTTAATTTTATTTTAAATTTAGTATTGAACTGAAAATGTATTAAATTTGACACCTGTTGGTTTATGAATACATGTAGTGTAGTGTAAGGTCCAAAGGTCTGAGAGCACTAGTGAAAATGCGTCTATTTTGCATTCCTTTCTACATTCCTTTCTTCTTGATACAATAATTTTCATTACAAATAATATTATTGACAACAACATGAGTGAAAAGTAGAATCTTTGAAATATTTGCATGAATTTCAGAGCTTCTTTCTTTTATGACAGTGAGCACTCGAGCTGACATGGACTCCACAAGTTTGTGCAAAACCTTATGAGCCATTTTTAGATCAAATCAGAGTCTTGTTTGAACACATGCTTCAATATTAAATATATCTTGAATATTTTGAATCTAGTATATTCAATATCTTTGTTTTAAATATTTCAAAATTCAAAAAGCTTGTTTATTTCCAATTTTAAATGAAAAAAAACAAAACAAAAAAAACCCAAATCCCAGATTTTCAATGTGGTCTCAGACTTTTGAACCCATGGTGTGTGTGTGTGTATATATATATATTATACACACACACATACACACGCATATATACATATACATATACATGTATGTATGAGTGTGTGTGTGTGTGAGTGTGTGTGTGTTCTATCCAGCTATGCAGGTGGATATTGGTGTTACATTTGTGTAAGTAAGATCCAGCTCTGCCGCTGGAAATCACAGGGCTGAGACTTTGTTCAAATCCTAGATTTACCTTAAGTGCATCACATAAGTAGACCTGAATGGCTTTATCAGCTGATTTTGTGCACTATGTGCTTGAATTAGTCTCACGACTCCAGTATGACGCAATGTAGTGGGCGGGGCTTTCTTTCATCCCATTGGCTACACGGCGAGCCAATGGCATGTCTGAAAGAGCGTAGTCCGCTCTACAACTGCTTACGCAGATCTACAACTCTCCTCCGGCATGTCTGAGGAGGTAGGTGTGCTCTCCATCCGTGGAGCCAGGGCATCTTTCAGCAGCCTGAGCTCCATTCTGCTGAGATCCTCTGAAGACTGCGTGTGGTCGCAGAGTGCCATGCCCTAGCTGAGGTAGTAGTTTGTGCTGTTGGATGGGATGTGAGATTGCCCGCTTATGGAGGTGACTGCGCAAGCTACTGCCTTGCTAGTGCTGGTCATGAACTTCACACACTGGACCTCTGCAAAGTAGCATCATGGAGCACTTGTGTGGAATAGGCTACATTTTGTACGGTTTCGCTACACATCCTGCAGCAGCAGGCTGAAAATGTGTACTGTGTGATGTGTGTTGTGTCGTTGATGGATACTTCCTCAATTAATCCGCTTTTCTCTAAAGAGGACATGATCACGTTAAACTGAATAATGCGGGTGCTGTTTGCCAATGTGAAAAACACTAGGATTAAGGTATTAAGGTAGTACTTTTTTTTTCATCACTAATATAATTCCATCTTTGCCTATGTTATGTACAAGCCTATGTCCGAATTTGATGGGGGTCATTTTGTTTGTTTGTTTGTTTGTTTGTTTGTGTTCAATGATGAATTGATTATTTCCCCCAAAACGCATATGGGTACATTAGAGAACAACTGGAACCACACTGCACATCTTGATTGCTATAAGGACTGATGGGTTTGTAATGTACTGTTTACTAGTGCTGTTCATTCTAAACAAACTGCTACTACATTTAAAAATGATTACATCTATCTATCTATCTATCTATCTATCCATCTGCAGTTGGTTTATACTATAAATGAGATAATTGTAAGTTGCTCTGGATAAGGGTGTCTGCCAAATGCCATAAATGTATACAGTGGAACCTTGAATCCAGTTTGTGGTTCCTGGTTGACATCAGCTGACCTCCAAAACCCTAATCATGGTGATCTAACTTCTTGTTAAAGGTACAGTCTATAGCATAATCAGTTCTGACTCAAAGTCTTGGTACTAATTAAACTGCTCTACGATGTAAATTAATCTGAGGGTTCC